GCTGGTTCAGGTCCTCCACTTAGCATTGTGGTTAGTGCAGCAGATTGAGGGGTACTGAAATAACTTTCTAAGTAATAAGAAGACATTGACAGTCTAGAAATCATCTGGAAAGCCCTAAAGACAAAATTCCTTTCTGTAGTGGTGGTCTTTACTCCCATTGCATACTGCATTGAATTTTTTTTCTATTTTTTATTTTTTTTTTTAAGAAAACACCTAATGAAAGTCTTTGAGGTCATTTAGACAATACTCATGATACAACTATTTCTAAATCTTTTTGAAGAATGAAGACATTAAATCAGTGATGAACTGTAGCTATTTTTAAGGGCATCAGCGGATCTGTTTCTGTTTTTCTTTATTAAACCTTGTTAACCAGGGTTTAAGTGGTTTCAAAAGGGGGTGTCAAGTGTCAGCGAAATAAACCGGTTTTCATCAGACTTCTGATTAAGGTGAAATGTAAAACTTAAAAGTATATTATTATTATTATTATTACTTCATGTAACTGCATTCAAACTCTGTTTTGGACTGCATATTAATGGTACACACTGTGTCAATATTTGTTCACTGTGGATGTTGCATGAGCATAAAGTAATATTCCAAGTGACTTCAGTTGTATATACAGAAGATGAAAGCTTCTGTAAAATGACCAAAGTGTAATTTCTTGGGAAGTTTAGCTGGAATACCTACCTCTGGTTATGAACATATTCAAATAGTGCCTCTTATGTGGGGTTTTTCTTGAAGTGAAAGTTAGTCGTTGGCAAAGGTGGTTTACAGTTACTCTCCCAGAGCTACCTGAACTACACTGAGTCAGGGGATCTGCATCAATTTTCCTGCCTGTATACTGAAATCCTCTTCTGGTGCTTTAAAATTTCTGTTTAAAGGTAGACCATTGCATTCTCCAACATACCAGATCAGTGTGAAACCCTGTCAGATCGGGGGGATTGTGCAGAGGGGAGGATATTTGTTCTGAGCCAAATTTAGGGAGTTTGAGCATCCATGGCAGATTTCCCATTACTGGTGTTCAGGCTTGTAAATGTCAGGGTCTTGGTGTTTGCAGACAGATCCTTGCAGTAAACCAAACATTTAAGAAACAGAACAGTGATTTATATATATATATATATATATATATAAAATATATATATATATAGATATAAAAATATATTTTTTTATAGGCCTGATGGTTCATTCAGTAGAAACTAGAATACTTGTCTCAAGTGCCCACTTCACATTAGCTTCCATCAAAAAAGGTGCTCTAGTCACTTCTCAAATCAACAGCGGTAGCAAGGCTCTTGGAGTACCAGGAGGCAAACGTGCCTGGACCACAAAATGGTAAGAGAGCAACACTGCTTTCCCTACTCTTCCAGCTGGTTTGTTAGTTGCAGGTAAATATGAGCTTTCCTATGGGTGAGGGAGCTTTCCCTCCAGGAGCTGCCTCAGGCTGTGGGAGTATGCACAAAGGGAGAAAAGGCAGTGGGTTTTCATTTAGGGTGTGTATTGGTGCTCTGCAGCTACTGTTTGTGTGCTGGCACCCCTCGGCATGGGTGTAAGCTAGTGTGCCCTTGCTTTTGAAGGCCTCATCCTTACTGTAAGAAAAAGAACATGCAGATTGTAAGTTATTGCTGTCTGGCTCTGAAACCATGTCATGTCTGCCTTGCTGAGAATGGATCCTGTAGCTTTTCTTAAGTTTTTTGTTTTTTTTTTTTCCTGTTGTTTTTTTGTAGTTAAAATGTGTGAGCACTTAACTCTCCACTAGCCATAGTGAAGTGCCTAAAGGATATTGCAGTGTGCTTGCAACACCTGTCTTTGATCATGATCTGGACTTGGGGTAGAAGTTGTATAGTTCACGCTCTCTTGTATCATATTGGTTTCTTTTTGAAGAACTATTGAAATTGTGTTGGGGGTGTGTGTGTATCATGCAAAGGCTGAAAAGGACTTAAATTTTTCTAGCCCAAGGGGTGGGAAAAGTAAAGTTTTCACGTTAAAATAAAGGTAAAACAGAGAAGGTGAAAGACAATTTGGTGAAAAAAATGAATAGCTGGTGAGGAAGGGAGATATGAAATAAGGAAAACTGAAGAATTTATATCTTCAGTTGATTTTTTTTTTTTTTCCACACTTCTGCATATATCAGGCTTGTGTTGCTTTTTATTGCTTAGGAAACAGTGTTGTTGAAGGAGTAGCCTTTCACCTTGGGTCCTTTTTCTTCATTTTCTTTAAATCTGGTCAACCTTCATCTGGCAGCAGGGGGTCCCTTTAGGCCTGTGGAATGCCCAAGTGGAGTAGTAGTGTCAGGGATATGGCTCTAGCAAAGTTTTTAGGAGTGTTTTTCAAGCTAATTCTTAGTTTCTCATGCTACTGGCAAATACTTAATTTGGGTTTTAGTCTGCAGTTGCTATGAATATCATTCTGATCTTTTTCAATTTGATATCTTCTTTGGCACTGATTTCCCTCCCC